CCCGCTGTGGGGTGAGGCCCATGGCTTCCCCCTTCTCCTTTGGCTGGCGAGGTTCCAGCGCAGCCAGCAGCCCCACGGCCTTCGCTTTTCTCTCTCCCAGGTTGCCCCCCTACAGCTGAGGCGTTGCTCTACGGAATCCTGCAGCTTCAGAAGAAAATCAAACGGGAGAAGAAGATCCAGATCTGGTACAGGAAATAGCCTCCGATTTGTGACCGACCACTCACTGCCCGCCCAGGGCTCTGCTCGCACGCACAAGAACGCTGTATTCTCACAAGCCTTCCAATAAAACTCTCCCTGGTTGAGGTGCTCTGCTGTCTTTAACGTATCCCTCCCATCTCGATGGTTTAGCTGCTTTAAAACCGGAATCAAAAAGCGGGAGTTAATTTGACAACACTCAGTGTGTTGGCTCCGGTCTGCAGAGCCCGCGAGGGAAGGCGAGTGCCTGGGGGTACCCGTCGGGGCTTCGGTGTCTTGCCAGAGCCTGGGACTCGCTCTTTGGCATCATCAGGAAGCTCGGAGACCGACGCGCATCCACGTGGACCCCGAGGTCTCCCTGAGCTCGGCTCTTCCTCCCCACCCGCTTTTCCTTTATAATTCCTACAAAGGGCTTAATAAATCCTTTATATCAGTGTGCGCAGCAGCCAGAAATTAAATTTCTATAACGTAAGTAAAATATTAATGCTTAAAATCAGACTGTGACTAACAAACGTGACTGCTGCAGCTCCCCTTAGCACCGTGGGAGTAAAGCAGCCCAGGGCAGGCTTTGGTGCTGGACGTGGCCGGGGAGCGCGGTGCCGTTCTCCCGGCAGCCCGCGGCGCGCAGCAGTCACCGCAGGGTTACACAAATACACCGCTCTGAAACGGCACTCGTGCATTTTGCTCCTTTTTAATGGATTTTATCCCTTCCGGGTAGAGGGAGAAAGCATCGCCGATGCACTGCGGAGCTGCGAGGAGGGCAGCGGGGTCAGGACTTGCTGCGGTGGGCTTTGGCCAGAAGGGTTGGCAAACGGGACGGGGGGGTTGCTGCAGGAGCCTCCAGCTGCCCTGGCTTCTGCTGCTCCCCCGGTTCGGGTTC